CCACAATCCCTTAAGGAGGCTGGGAATGATGGGATTACAGTTCTACCTTCTCTTTCCAGCCCTTCAACCCTGTCAACATAACAGCTGGGAATGATGGGGTTTACAGTTCCACCTTCTCTTTCCAGCCCAATCAACCCCACAATCCCTTAAGGAGGCTGGGAATGATGGGATTTACAGTTCCACCTTCTCTTTCCAGCCCGATCAGCCCCACAATCCCTTAAGGAGGCTGGGAATGATGGGATTACAGTTCCACCTTCTCTTTCCAGCCCAATCAACCCCACAATCCCATAACAAGGCTGGGAATAATGAGGTTCAAGTCCCTTTTTCACTCTCCTGACCTATCATCCCCATATCTGGGGCGGGAGTGATGGGAGTTGGCCGTCCGATCTCTCTGAAGGGCAGCCAGAGCTAGAAGGGCTAGAAGGGCTGTCCCCCCCCATCCCCATGGTTGCTAGGAGACGCGCTAGGCCCGGGCCTCGACCACACTGGACTTCCCCAAGGAGGCCTGGAAGGCGAAAAGCCCCGTGGCGGTCACCCCCGCGCTGCCTTCCCGCCGGGGCCGCTCACATTTTCGTCTCCCGAGAGGTCCCCGGGGTTGCTGTTCTCGTCGCTGCTGAGCTTCTGCTTCTTTGTCGGCATTTCGCTTCCCGCCGCCGCTTCAGGCGCCTCGCTTCTCCCGCCGGCTCCACGCCTCCTCTCAGACATCTTCCCCGCCCCTCGCGCCCGACCGTAAAGCGCGGGCGAGGTAGCCGCCGCCCACGACCCCGCGGCGAGACACGAAGACCTGCGGGGCGCGCTATATAAGCTCTTCCGCCGTAAAGCGAAAACGGCTTTCGCCTCTTCTGCTGTCGCAAAGCCAAAGGGAAGGGGGGGGGAACTAGAAGCCACACTGTCGGAAAATGTGCAAGGCGGCCCCGTGCGCGTGCGCAGCGGCCTCGAGTAGGCGGGCCGCCAGCGGGCGCGCGGCCCTTTCGCCTCACGCCGGGTTTTTGCGCGCCTGTTTCTTCTTCGCCCAATTTTAGGGCGTTCGTGGCTTCGTTTTGGAGGGCTGCTTTCAAAACAAAGCGTTTATTTTAGGGCTCAGAAAACACAAACCCCTGGCCTGTATTTGTAGGGTTTATTTTTTGGGAGGACTTTTTTTTTAAAAAAAACCTAAGTTGGAGAGCAGCTCTTTATAGTTCTTAATTTACAAAAAAAAGAAGAGGAAGAGGAAACAACACTTCTGCGGAAAGAATCCAGAGAAAGAAATATTTTGGGAAATATTAAAAAGGCAGAATATATTTCCCCAAAGGATTTTAAAAGCAGAAACCAACATCCCCCCTCTAAAGTCTCTCTGACCCAAACAAAAACCAGGCCTGCAGAAATGCAGATGTGATAATCTTGCCAGGAAGATTGGAGCCAGGAAACTGGGATTACAAAGACAAAGATCCCTAGAATTAACAATCCCTCATACCAAAAAATCCAATAATCATCAGCCACAGCCCCAGGGAAGCAGGATATGACCTTTGGGACATAATAGGATTAACCCACCACCATCAGAATACCAGAATATTCAGGTCAAAATTCATGCCACAGGAACAACTCCAAACAAAAGCTCAAGAAGGTGTAAAAACCACCACTCCATACTACATGTGATCAGCTTTTCCAGAACCATCCTTCTGTCTGGCTCTCCAATAAACTACAACCTTCTTTCTAAAGAAGTCTCCATTTTGTTTATTCCCAGCTTGGACTGGACCCTGATGAAGATTTTTCTTTCAACACTGCCATCTGCTAAAATAGCTGTAAGGCCATCAAACATCCACATTTCCCTATCCCAGAATTCCAAATACAGTGTGAACGTCTGGCTGACTGTGAGAAACCATTTTATTAAACTTCTATGCAGCCAGTCTCTCAACAACTGTGGGTGGCTCGCAACAGTCAAAGAAATTATAATAAAATCAGTAAAAAATTTAAAAAAAGATAAAAGATGGCAAGTGCAATGAAGTAGGAATCTAATCTGACAGGTGTATTTATTATCTGTCACATTTCACAGGGTTGAAAGGAAAATAGAAAGTATTAAGTATGTTTGCCACCTTGAATTATTTATAAAAATAATAAAGGCAGGATATAAATAAATAAGTCTCCTTCACTGATAGAAACCTTCAAATTATTCAGTTAGAAACAATTATTAAGAGTACCACAGACCATAAAACAACCAATCAATCTATTCTGGTCTATCCAAAAGCTAACTGATCCCTTGAGTTGACAATCCGCAAGGACAAACTTGGTTGTTTGTGGTATGTGATGTTGCCTACCCGTGGAAGAATAAAAGCAGCAAAGTCTAAATTCAGCTCGAGAGACTTGGTGAAGAAAGCCTTTGAATTTTGTTCCAGCATGTGTGGAAAGTGGTATCAATTGAAAAAAAAGATTTTTTTAGTTAGTCCTTGATTTATGACTGTTTGCTTGGTGACCATTCAAAGTTCCACTAGACCCATCTGGGGGGGCACTTATGACCCAGATTTTAAGTCCCAACATTTGACTGCACTCTGGGAGCTTAGCTGTTTGCAGCATCCTGCGATCATGTGACCGCATTTTACAAAAATCAGCATTTACTCTTGGTTTTCAGCAAAGCCTCCCCATAGCAAACCATTGTGGGAGGACAGCACACACACACCAGAGAAAGAAATATTTAGAGAATATTCAAAGGCAGAATATATTTCCCCAAAGGATCGTAAAAGCAGAAAAGCAGGCCCAGTTTTTCTTAATAGCTTCCAGTAGAAACTCAAGAAATCACCTTTCAGAAATGCAGATGTGATAATCCTATTCAGAAAGGTTGGAGCCCGGAAGCTAGAAGCCGATGAGATTAGAAAGACAAAGACCCCTAAAATCTACATACCCCACCCAAACTCATGACCTTTAGGACATGATAGGATTAACCCACCACCATCAGAATACCAGAAAGGCACACTGAAGCTCAGGTCAAAGTTCATGCCACAGGAACAGGAAACAACCTCAAAAGCCCAAGAAGGTATAAAAACCCACCATTCCCAGCTACATATGGTCAGCTGTCCTCTTCAATAAACTACAACCTTCTTTCTAAAGCAGTCTCCATTTTGTTTATTACCAGCTTGGACTCGACCCTGATGAAGATTTTTTTTTCTTTCAACACCATTGTTTTGTTTAGCAACCACAGCATTTTCTTAACAACTGTGGCGTTCAATTTAAGACTACTGCATTCACTTAATGCCCCCTGAAAAAAAGGTGATGAAATCAAATCAGTCACATGATGATCCACTTTAAAATTATCATGAGTTACGACTGTGATGAGCAGACTCCATTATGGCTGTAACTCGACTACCTATATCCATTTTAGTGGTGGCTTCCAGGCATAAGCCTAGACCAGTAGAGCAAGAGATGAGGGATGCTTCCTTAGTAAGAAAAGCTCCGAGGCATTTCTTGCCTGTGGCAAAAGACAAGATGTGTGAGAAGCTACAGCAGGGGTGTCAAACTCAATTTCATTGAGACCCGCATCAGTATTGCGGTTGCCCTCGGGGGGCCGGGTGGGTGTGGCCAGAGTGGGTGTGGCCTACTGGGTGGGTGTGGAGGGAGTGGGTGTGGCCTATTGGGGGGCATGGCCAGCTCTACATTGTTCGCGTCAAGGGTGCCTGTGGGGGCTTGGGCAGGAGTGGGACAGATCTGAGGGTCTCTGGCTGAAGGCAGTGGGACTGGGGCAAGTGCCAAGCCATGGTCCACTGGAGGAGCCTCTCTGCCTGCTGAAACCCCTTCGCCGGAGCCCATCAAGCCAGATATGTGAAGTAGGCGAGGGCCATTTGCTGGCCACTTCCAGGCGATGGTGCATTTCTTCATTCCTCACAAAGGGTGACACCTCCCCAGCATGACCCAGGGTGCGGGGCCAACACGGCAGGGGCTGGTTCCTCGCTATTTCCAGACAGCCTTGTGGAGCTAAGACTGAATGCGTTTCAGCATAGATGGCCACCACAAAATTGTACATTGGCTCCCGACCGGCCTGGGCCAGGGCCAAGACAGCGGGGGCTGTTCTCTCACTGTTTCCAGGATGGCTTCGCGGGCCACATGAAACCACTTCGCGGGCCGCATCTGGCCCCCAGGCCTTGTGTTTGACATGTCTGAGCTACAGTATGTACTGAAAGCAACCAGTTTGGCCTGCACTGAAAATGTGGCAGTAGTGTCCTCCATTACACCTGAGGGCAGAAGGTTTTAGCCAACAAGTTTAAATGGATGCTGCACATTAGCTCCCTGCCATCCACTCCTCTTCACTGCCCTCAAGGCCTCAGTATTTGCTATCTAAATAAAAAAAAAATCTCATAAAGATAGATTTCCTGGCTGTAGCTTGCGGCAGAAGCTGACAAGGCATTGTTTATACTCATAACAATCATAAGGAGGTTTGGGCATGTCTTGTTTAGACTTGGCACAGAATAGGCACCACTGGTCTTTCCTGCATCCACATTGTTTGAAAGGATTGAATAACAAAGTTGGAAGGAACCTTGGAGGTCTTCTAGTCCAACCCCCTGCTCAAGCAGGAAACCCAATATTTTTTCAGTCAAATGGTTGTCCAATCTTTCCTTAAAAACCTCCAGCGTTAGAGCACCTACAACTTCTGGAGGCAAGCATTTCCACTAATTATTAATTGTTCTAATTGTCAGGAAATTTCTCCTTAGCTCCTAGGTGGTTCTTCTTGATTAGTTTCCATCCATTGCTTCTTGTCCTGCCTTCAGGTGCTTTAGATTAGAAAATAGGTTGACCCTCCCCTCTTCTTTGCAGCAGCCCCTTAGATCAGGGGTGTCAAACTGCCGGCCCGCGGGCCAGACGCGTCACCAGGAAACTGCTCTCACCCCATTGCCGGCAATGGAGAAAAAGCTCAGAAACATGTGACGTCACGTGACGTCACGAGTTTGACATGTCTGCCTTAGATACAGGTTCTACAGGCAAGAGGAGAAATGCAAATCCTAGGTGTTTTGTTTGTCTGAGCTAATCTTGTCAGTTTGGCCTTGCCTATTGCGTTGCTTATTTAGGGTTTCTGGCTGTTCTTTATTTATGAATAGTGTGACCCAGTCTTTCTGAATGGATTACAAAATCTCCATTCCTAAATTTTCTGGTTTCTGCTTGAGGCTGTTTTCTTACAGCAGGAAGACTGGGGCTACTTTCTGCCTTTAAGAAGATGTCTCTTCTCTTCTCCTTCAGCCTCTTTTTAATATTAAGAATAAAGAATATTTTATCCTGGGGAGGGGGGGTCTTCCTACATTCAAAAGGCAACTGGATTTTCTTACCTTTTTTTTTTAAAGACATTTCGCTTCTCATCCCAGAAGCTGAAAAAGAGCTAAAGAAGCTTCTTGGGTGAGAAACGAAACATCTTTAAGGAAAAAACAAAGAAAGTCCAGTTGCCTTTTGAAAAGCACCTTTGGGACCCCTTCTATGCCCATCTGGTCATCTGTCCTCCACAGCCTCTGTCACCTGAAACTGACCTTCACCACTGTGGGAATAATCCAGAGAAAGAAATATTTTGGGGAATATTAAAAAGGCAGAATATATTTCCCCAAAAGAATAATGGAGATCTTTAAAAAGGCAGAAACTTCTCCACACACCCCGCCCCCCAGCCTGACAACTCAGCAGAAACCAGCTTTTAGAAATGCAGATGTAATAATCCATTCAGGAAGGTTGGAGCCCTCCAGCTAGAAGCTGAAGAGATC